CCTCGGTCCGGAGGTAGGATCGACGGCAGTGTTCAGTGGGTTACATGCCACTCCACGTTCAGCCTTCGAGCTACGCTCGGGACTCTTTTCCGATACACCCTCGGTCGGATACTCCGATATCCAGCACATTGACCGTCCCGGTCCATTGCCCGCGCCAATAGCGGTTCTGCCTCCTAGCAGAAGTAGGCCCATGACTCATCAAAGCTCCACCAGGAGACGTGCGTATAGCACCCAAGGATTTCACCTCCAATCAATCGATGGCTCATGGTGTTCCAATCACGCCATACCAAGGATCAGGTAATACCTATAATCCAAGTATAAGACTAAGCAGTGTTCCACGCTATCGAAGTCAAGAAACGTGACACCGAGGCCCACAGAGACCCTCAACCAGTGACGCAAGTCCCTGTCGCTAAGCGAACAGTGACAATGTCACTCAATATCGCTTTTCGTACCTCAGCATACCGTCAAATTCCTTCCGTCGTAGAGCGACAAGCTTAATTATTCGACGCCCCGGAATCAATACGGACCTTCCATGCTTATTGATTCCGGGGCGTCGGGTAATTAAAGCCTTTCACGGTTGCATTTACGACCAGCAAACCCGGCTGGCATACACGATCCAAGTTCAAGAGCACGGAGCAATTCGGGGCTGGGCTCTGCTGCCCTCTATCCTTTTGAGACTCAACACAACTCAATTCTCCCCCAGTAGGGCACCCCACGCCTACTGGGTGTTCTCGTTTCCCCGCAACAAACCAGGCTGGTAAGAAGCAGGACATCGGTTCGATGAACCTTGACGAACCTTGCGCAGGGGACAGCCAGCCTGAAGGTGACGGGTGTCTCCACAGACAAGGCACCGTCGGGTGTTTAAACGCTGCCCGGCAGCTTGGAGCGCACCTTTCTCTTTCTCAGCAAGCTGAAATCCATTGACTCAGGCCTTCTCGACGAGATATGAGGGTGTGCATTCCAACCAAGTCGTGCCAACTTAAAGTTGAATTTGGCAGTCGATGCCACAATCACCGCTTCTTCAAAAGAAAACGGATGAACACGGAGGACTTCCATTCTGGCCATACCAGTGCGGAGGCCTTCCATAAAGACGGTCATTGTGACCGCTTCGGGAGAGGATTGGCTGCTATCCCGGGGATGAGAGTGCGCAACTCTTGGACAAAGTCCACCAATTCCTTCTTGCCCTGTTGGACGGCAAGGAAAGGCGATCGCAAGCGATATGCCTGGTTGGGCGGCGAGAACACCTATAAAAGCTGCTGTTTCAGTTCCGTCCGAGAGGGAAACGCCGCTTCAACCGAAGTGCCTCACATCAGTGCCCATTCTCGCGCTCGACCACCGAGCTTGGAGATAGCTAGAGCCACGCGCTGTTGCTCATTCTGGAGGGCGGACGCCATAGCCGTCTCGGTCTCTCTCACCCAGAGCAGGAGATTCTCTCCATCCTTACCCTCGAAAATTTTGATGCTCACCATGAGCGGCCTGGGTCGGGAGGAGTCATTCGTCGTCGACGGTGGCGTCATGGACGTTGTCGGCGCCGACATTTTCTGCTGTAAGTGCTCTAGCAGAGCATTTTCATAGCTCGAAAACGCCTCTTGGCGCGCGCTGATCGCTTCAGGTCCTTGCGAAGCGAGGTGTTGCACGCCCTCAGAGCCAAACAGCGACATCAGCTATATCAGCCGTCTTGCATGCCTTGGGGCAAATAAGAGAGCTGCTCCATCCTCACAGAGGATCAGTCGTAACAGGTGTAGATTGACTACAGGCTCAATCAGATACGCTCTAGCTCGTCTGGAAGCACCACAAACGAATGAGACTTGATACATCAGCTGCTGACAATATTGCGAAAACGTTTTGTGCAAATATCAATATACGACTCATTAGATAAAGCATTTGGAAATGTCTATTGCCAAGCGCCATGATGTATGTTGATATAGCTGAACATGCAGTGCCCCTTCCCTGACACAAAAATTAGCGATGTCTGTTGCGACAGTTTATCGCTGCTGGGATGCGAGCTAGTATTCGAGTGCTACCAAGTGCAGCGGGGATGCTGTAGCTCTTTTGCTTAGAGAAAGCTAAGCTAAGGTCACCGACCTTACGTTCTATACGAGAACCAGTACGAGTGTAGTGGACCGCAATCCGCTTACTCCAAGAGCAACCACAACCTAAACCCAAGGCAAATAAACTCTTTCACTCAAAATGTAAATTGTATTTCGTTTTATTTGCGGCAGAGCAGCCTATATCTAGATATGTAGGTTTTCCTAACTAAATAGACAAACCTAATTACAATGTATAAAATAGTGGCTTCTTGTTAACGCGTAGCCACACTATTGTGTGGTGTGACCACACAATGGTGTTCGTGCAATTCCTTTATATTCTCGGCTAGCAAGTCACAAAACACTTAATAGCTCAAACGAAATAAATTTAATGCATCTATTAGTGAAATTCTGTTCCACGTTATTTTTCGCTATTAGGCAATCCGTGACACGTTCTCTATAAAACACCTGTGATCAATTCATCAGCGTAAAGTACACAGTATTTTACCAGCTGTAGCCAACTTTGGGTAAGGCAACGCTGACCTGATTTAGCTTTGCCGCTCCCATCTAGAGTACGAGCAAGACAAAGGACTCATAAAGCTACCACGCAATGGACGCGACAGTGTTCTAGTCAAATTTTCAAAGTGTGTCACCTTTTGGAATATTCCC